AATTTGGCACAGATCTGGTGAAAAGCGACTCTGAAGGTTCCTGCAATTTTCACCTAATTAAAAGTTTTTTCCCTTTTCCCAAACAATCAGTCACATGGTCCAATCGAGGTGCTGCCTGGTTGCCGGGTAACACCACTCCTCCTCTCTCTGAGCATCAAAATGGTTAAAAATTATAATTTACTATTTTAGCTCACTTAACTTATTCACCATTCTGTCCCACCTTTCATTTTGACATTTCTGATTTCCATTTATTTCCAGGACTGGCTGGAGAATTTTAGGAGTTGAAGTTTACATGTATTACACAATACGTTATAATTTCCAACAAGTAGAGCAATGTGACAGTACAATCGATGGTAGAGAAAGGTGAGAAGAGATATTCCTATGATCGCGTTACATTATACAATTTGGAGTCAAATGTGTGTCAGGATTTGGAAAGCTACATGAAGCTCTCAGATACCAGATTGTTCACTTTTGATTTATGACAACACTGGGTCCTATATATGTAATGATAATATCTTATGGAAGATTGTTCCAGAGACAATAATAGGAATATCCTTATGGTAGATTTACAATGAATTGGAATTTCAGTTCTCACATCTAGTGTATTGCATCCATTTAATATGAATGAGATTTAAAACTTATTACATGTATTTTAATATAAGCAGTGCTTCACATGTAGCCTCAAAATGGATACATTGACCTTTTCCCAAGCTATTGTTTCAATATGGGGATCGATAAGAATCAGAATTCTCAATTAATAGGATTTCAGACTGCCCAATACTGTCTTCAGTGTATTATGGGGTAGTTCGTAGGTGTGGCAAGCAAAGCATGTATGAACTAGCAGGAAGTCTGAAGGACCGGCCTAAGGTTAAATTCTGCACCAAGCGTTTTACAAGATTTACATTAATTCAAAGACGGTTGTATGATTTTAGATATGATTTCTGACTTCCGTGTATTAAGAACAGAAATCATTTAAGATAACATGCTGCCTTTAGGGATTGTTCTTTTCAAAGCCACTCTGATGAACATCTGCGGTGTGGAAAAAAATGACCAAAATGATAATAGTCAGAACGACCAATGCAGTCCCCAATCCAAGGGCCGTGTGATCCAAGATGAGTGCCAGTCTAGAATATCTCTTAGCAGATGCGATGTCTCCCCGTTGATTGGCATCTTGAGTCTGAGGGTGGGTGGGAGGGAAAGAGGTAAAAAGAAGATTATTGAGACCCATATAATTGGTTGACTCTGGGCATGTGGGACAGCAAGGAGAAGACAAATGTCAAAACATGCATGAGAACATGATTTTTAAAACAAAGATGGCAAGCGCGGAGGCAGAAGAAGAGAGGAAAAGAAGAACCAGAAGAGAAGAAAACATGTAAGGAAGAAGGAGATAAAGAGGAATGTACTATATACAGAGTGAAACTAAAGCTTGACAAACGTATTTATTCTGTGTGTATGTGTGTGTGTGTGTGTGTGTGTGTGTGTGTATTTGTGTGTGTGTGTGTGTTTCAGCAAGCACCGATCTTATTGCAGAAGTGAGGACATAAAGAAAGGTTATGAAAGATTGCTCTTTAGGTGTGTGGTAGAACAAAGAAATGGAAAATGTCAAACCTCAAGTTCACACATATAGTTCAAGTGTAGAGGTAATCACAAATGTACGGCTGGAAATTTAAATACATCTGCAAGACACCAGTGACTTTGACCAACGAGAAGGGTGAAGGAACAAGATATTTAGCTTCTTTAGCATAGCAAC